CAACTATCATTCCAAGGGTGACGGTTAATATAAAAGTGTGGTCGAAATCGTCCTTGAGCAGATCGTAGGTTTTCGATGGAGCAATTCGTGTGAAGAACAAATCTGAAAAGAATGGAAAGATTAAAAGATGATAATTATTATATTGGCAACTCCAAACACTTGGAAAAGCATAGTAATATTCATATATTTGATTGGATAGAAGAAAAGCGAGTAAAGCGCAATAGATAAAAGCAATGTTTCTAATATTAATTAAATCTATTTTTATTAAACATTCGGATAGATCAAAAAGAGAGAAAGGACTAACCCAAACCATAGGCAAAAAGTAGGCTGGTGGATTCGAGGCCCGAGGGGGCTGTGTGAATCCTGCGGATGGCCTGTACACTCTGGTTGTAAGTGATGATGGCATAGGTGCTTAAGGGCAATTCAGGCATATAAGGTTCAAGACCCTCTTCTCTATGACCAAAAAGATGGGAAATAAGATAAATAATAATAAGGAAGTTTGTAGGGGATAGGCATGAGAAGAAAAGCGATAAGAATGAAAATTTTTCAGAGATAGGGACTGCAAACATGACCCTAATTTGACTCGCTAGTTTAATTTTAAAATGAGTATTGAATTGCAAATTAGACTATTTAGAACAGTTATTCAAATATACACTCAAGCACTAAGCTAAATAAAATATAATATAAAGTCCTAAAAGTAGATAAAATAACAAAACACAATAATATAAGTAATTAGTTCGTAATATGCTGTACAGTCTGAAAGTCATTAATATGATCTAATGTTGCTAAAGAAGTGAACATTTGCAACTAAGTCCTTATTATAGCCCATTAGCAAGAAGTGGACATACCACTACTTAGTAGCAGGCTTTTAGTTTATGTACGGCTAAGGTATTTTCAGGCTCCATCAACCTAGATCATTCAATAATCATGGGCTTGAGTGTTTTTATTCACGCAAGTAAGGTATGCCTTTTTTTATGCTTCCATACATCTACATACATATTACCTTAGGTCTTAAGCACTCATGCACAAATAGACCTAAACTTACCCAACTTCAAGAGCTGTTTAGTAGCTGGGAGTCTATGATACTTGGCGCATTTTACAGTAGCTTCTAAACTTCGCGGATTCTGTTTTTCTGCTTTTTATAGCTTCCCATCTGCACAATCCACATACTCTTCGGAGCATAGTGCAGTGATTGCATCTTCCCTAGTAGTCAATAGCAAGTAAATCTTACTCATTTTATGTTCCTTATCCTTTTTCCCATATTACTTTGCATGCTATTAACAGCTTTAGATTAGCCTGGCTTTCTTTCATGGACTCCCAAGTCTGCAGTTCTAGGCTTTTCCAGCCTAACCTGTATCCTATATGAATCCAATATGTCCTGCAATTCATGGCCTCGCAAAAGGCATTGGGAATGCGTGTGTTAATGATCGAAAAGTCGTTATAATAGTAAGTCATCCTCTTCGAGGTAGAGCAAAATAAAGGATGTGGGCAAACGGTTAGCACAAGATGAGTAATATCAACATTAGTCAGTGATGGAGGTAATGGCATGCAGTTTCCGAAATACATGGGGGACAAAAAACAAAGTCTGGTCAATAGGATTTCGGAAATAAGAAAAAAGTAGACGAAATATAATTATTCTAGCCGTAGTACGGCTAAAATTAGCGATAAATCATAAAATAACTATGATTAAATCAGTGTTTATTCTCATGAGAATAAATTTTAAAAGATAGCAGCCACTGATCACTGCACGCCAAATTAAGATTATGCCAAGCAGAAAAAATTGAGTGATGCTTGTCACCTAACATAAGCTTAAAAGTCTAACGCTTTAAGGCAAATGCCTAGTAAATAGATTAGAATAAGCCTTCTGTTGATATTGTTCTTAGTATAGTCACTAATATGATACTTGATTAAACTTTTTCACTCAATCACAATAATCTTAAACAGATCATAAAGTGAAAAAATCAAAGTTATACGAACTTTATTCACCTATTTATTATTTATTTTAAAATATATGATAGCAGATAAAGAATCGATCCGTTAAGTTCTAATATGGGGGGAAATAATGTCAACATTAATGTAATAATGTGAAAGAACGAAGATAAAAAACAATCTCAAAAATAAGAAGTGCTTACTGTAGTTCCTGAGTCATTTCGAGCGAGCGACGAGGATCCAAAATAGTCTTGGGCAATTCAATAATGCCTCCATTTTCCAAGGCAACTGAAATTTGAAGCAAGTAAAAATGATATTTAAAATAAGTTATGAAACGAGTAATGATTTGCATTATTGGAATTTGAGAGGCTTATGATGGCCGTAGGCTTCCATAGCAGTTAAGGATCCATGTTTAGTCCACCAAAGTGAAAATAAAAAACTGTTTTAAAAAATGAGTTATTTTATATATCAATCTCTCAAATGACGATCTGGATTTAAATAATATTCGAAAAGTATAAAGCAACCAGTATTTTATAACTCTAATAGGACTGGAGCAAGAATAGGCCTGGCTAGGCCGGTTTTATTTTTAAAATCTAGATGTAGTGACATCAGCAAGTGAATTAATTAAACGAATGAGAAAAACCTATATAAAAGTTGTAGAGATGACATGTCTCTCACATAAAATTGATTTAGCCGTGATCCCCCGTTCTGTAATGGAAACAGCTGATCCTCCTGGTCTAGCCGGAGTGCCTAATATGTAGGCTCGTTGCACGATATGTGGCGTCAATCCCAGCCCTTGAGCTGGGTTGGGCGCAGCTGCCATGGCAGCACGCTCCAAGGAGGAGAAAGTGGTTGCAGCGGCAGACGAAGAAGTGGAGGACGTTTGACTAGCTCCACGTTTACCAACACTCACTCTAACGGAATGGTCACCCTGAGCATCGGCCTTCAAATCGCTTCTGTCTGAGCCGTGCAGTAGTCCTGCGAGCGGGGCAGGAAGCAAGTGATGCAAAAAAAGTTGCCAGGGTGTAGGGATCAGCTGAGCTGATCGGCCTGGAGGTTCAATCTGACGATTATTGAGACTAGTTGGACGTGGTGATGTGGAGGGGGAAGATGGTCCGTTGCTCAGACCAGATGAAGAAGAGGAGAATGAACCTGAGGGGAGACCCGTGGCTTCAAACATTTCAAGAACCACTACTTCACTACGTAATGACTTTTGGTTGTAAAATGAGTACTAGAAAAAAAAGAGGAAAAGGTGGATAGATAGTATTGTATGAGGTTTTTGTTTATTTACCTCATGATGGTAAATTGCTAAATTGTGAGTAGTGGCATAACTAATTTAAACCTAAATAAAGTCTAGCGTTATTTGTTGCATGAGAGTTATTTTAAGTTATACAATAAAACATACGCTACTTGTCAAAACACAAGAGAAAGACTAACCGCCTAGAGCATCGAAAAGTATGTTACAATATTCATCTAATAACACATCTATGATTCTATTAAAAAGTAAAATATACGAATTTCCAAAGGATCTGCAGATGGACAGGCCCTATTAAAAGGAAGACTATTTACAGCTAAGAAGGTTACTCATCACGGTTCTAGAAAGAAGACATCAAAGGCAAATAAACCTATCCAGTGTCATCTGCCATATTAGTCACGATATTATATAGAATCAGTTTAGTATCGGGCTTATTGCATTTACAAGTGTCGACATCTCCAGCGAGCCCATTTACTCTTAACACTAACCTACAACGCGCTTTCTGGAGAACGAAGCGTTATTTCGCATGGTCTGTCTTCAACGTTTGATAGCACGAATAAGATACCCTCCTCACACTAAAATTCTCAAGTTTGCTATCATAAACGTAATAACAATGGGCGAATGAAAACGGTAAACAAGTGAGATAAGAAACGGAACGTTGAGGGA